GCTGAGCGCGCAAGCCGCCACCAGGTCGTAGAGCTCGATGCCGGCGTCGGCCAGAGCCAGCCCGGCGGCGCAAAGGGCGGCGGCCAAGGAAGAGCCGCCGTCCTGCAGGAGCAGCGCGCTCACCTCCAGCTGCGCCCTCGGGTAGCGCGCCACGCGCACGGCCGGCTCCAGCGCCTCCTGCATCGCCAGGGCCAGCTCGGGTTCCTTCTCGCCGGGGCGGCTGCGGGCGCCGCGGCCGGAGAAAGGCGCCCGGCGAAAGTCGCACACCAGCCGGACCCGCTGTTCGGACGGAGCGCCGGACGGACCGCCGCCGCCGCCCACTTCGCGCGGCCCGGCCACGGAGCAGAGGACCTTGGTGCCCCCGTCCAGCTCCACGTAGGCCGAGCCTTTGGCTTGGCTCAGCAGCCCCACGCGGGCGAAGAGCGGCTGCAGGGCCGAGGGGTCCCGGTTGGCTTGGGCCACCTCGCCGCTCGCCTTCTGGCCGCCGGGTACGTACAGCAGCGGCGATTGCGACTCCTCCGGGCCCGGCACTCGCCGGTGATCCAGCGGCATGGCGCACGGCTTTGGCGCGCACGGCTCCGGAAGGGGAAGGGCGGAGGAAGGCGGCGAGGCTTTTTCCTCCGGCAGCTCCCCCTGCCGGCTTCGGCTCTCGGCGTTGGCCGCCGCCGCCGCCGCCGCTTCTCCAAGGTTGGGGTTTCCTGGAGCGCTTTTGCGCAAGGCTTGGAGTGCGGCGGCTGCTCCGTTCGCGGGGACTGTCGGTGGAGATGCTCAGCCATCCAGGGCGTGGTTGGCCCAAAGGTGCTTCTCCTCCCCTCAAAGGGGCAGCTGGACTGTCTGGTTTTTCTCTGAAGACGTTTCGCTTCTCATCCAAAGAAGCTTCTTCAGCTCTGACTGGATGGTGGGGAATGGATGTATATTCCTTGCAAAGAACAGCTGGTTCTTTGCATTCACTCTTAAAAGGATGCAAATTTAAATGTTATAAATATTATAAATAAATATGAATTTTATAAATAAATATTTTTTTAATTTTATTTATTTTGTCAAGCATGTATAAGATAACAGATATAAGTATTAACTTGATTATGAATACAGGAAAATGGATACGAATAAGTGGAGACAGGACAGGGACAGTTGGTGTGTTTACGCACCAATGGTGGGATTCAAATTGTATTATTGTATTGTATTAATTACACTTATATACCGCTTCATAGGGCTTTCAGCCCTCTCTAAGCGGTTTACAGATGTTTAGCAAATTGTGTCAGCAAA